TGGGGAGACCCACAGGGTCCAAGAATGAACACAAGCCCACACACCCAGGAACCAACACCAGAAGGGCCCAATTAGCTTGTTGGAAGCGGCAGAGGGGACCGAAACCCGAGAGAGCGAAGCAAGTGCCACTGTTCCCTCTCGGACCTTGGCCCCGGTCGCAACCCAGGCACTGGGTTGCCCCACCCTGGTGAATACCTAAGCTTTCGTCCCTCATACATAACAGGTGCGAACAGACCAAAATATTATGGCTCAAGCAGAAGAAGAGCTGAAAGCCCCAGAGCCAATACTTCTAAGTGACCAAGAGATAGCCAACCTATCAGATGCACAGTTCAAAGCACTGGTGATCAGGATGCTCACGGAATTGGTTGATTTTGGTTGCAAATTAGATGAAAAAAATGAAGGCTACACTAAGTGAGATGAAGCAAAATGCACAGGGAACCAATAGCGATGGAAAGAACACTGGGACTCAAATCAATGGAGTGGACAGAAGGAAGAAAGAAACAACCAAACAGAAAAGAATAAAGAAACAAGAATTCAAAAAAAAAATGAGGAGAGGATTAGGAACCTCCAGGACATCTTTAAACGTTCCAACATCCGAATTATAGGGGTTCCAGAAGGGGAAGAGGAAGAGCAACAAGTGGAAAACTTATTTGAACAAATAATAAAGGAGATCTTCCCCAATCTGCCAAAAGAAATAGACTTCCAGGAAATCCAGGAAGCTCAGAGAGTTCTAAAGAAGTTGGGCCCAAGGAGGAACACACCAAGGCACATCATAACTACATTACCCAAGATTTAAATGAAGGAGAGAATTCTAGAAGCAGCAAGAGATAAGAGGACAGTCACCTACAAAGGAGTGTCCATCAGACTGTCAGATGAATTCTCAGAAGAGACCTTACAGGCAAGAAGGGGCTGGAAAGAAGTATTCCAAGTCAAGAAAGGCAAGGACCTACATCCAAGATTGCTCTATCTAGCAAAGCTTTCATTTAGAATGGAAGGGCAGATAAAGTGCTTCTCAGATAAGGTCAAATTCAAGGAGTTTATCATCACCAAGCCCTTATTATATGAAATGTTAAAGGGACTTATCTAAAAAAAGAAGATAAAAAAGATGAACAGTGAAAGGACAGCAAACTCACAGTTATTAACAACCACACCTAAAACAAAAGCAAACTAAGCAGACAGATCAGGAGCGGAACCATATAAATGGAGATCACATGGAGGATTAGCAACAGGGGAGTGGGAAGAGGAGAAGGGGGGAGAAGGTACAGAGAATAAGTAGCATAAATGGTAGGTAGAAAATAGACGGGGAGGGCAACAATAGTATGGGAAATGTAGAATCTAAAGAACTTGTGACACATGGACATGAACTAAAGGGGGGGGAGTGGTGGGGGAGGGGTGTACAGGGTAGAGGGGAATGAAGGGGGGAAATGGGACAACTGTAATGGCATAATCAATAAAATATATTTTTAAAAAAAGAGACAGATGCTCAGATCCTTCACGCTTCTCTTTGGCCAACTCGCAGAAGTGGCCCACACCCTGCAGAGCCACACTGTCCTGGTCGAATTGGAAGCTCAGAGAGAGGTGGGCGTAGGAAGCCCGTAGATGCAGGTTGGCCAGGCAGTTGACTGCAGCCTCCACCTGGGTGGAATAATTCTGATAAATTTGGAAGCTCATGGTTGTTCGGCAATGAAGAATTAAGGTCCGAAGAATGGTGCCAGCTGGTCTCGGAGGCTGAGGAAGGCTGAGGTGGTTTAGAAGGTGGTGACTAGAAAAGAAGATGGAGGGTGGATGGAAAGAAGGGCTGTCCTCAGGTCTGTTCCGTTCAAACCCTGTTGAAGCAGGAGACAGATCCCAGGACCGCTGAGGGCGCTCTAGAGATTGGGATTCAGAATTATAATTTATAGTTTATAGATTTAGAATGTGCAGTGACACCAGAGTTGCAATATTTGAGAGATGGATGGGGAAGCCTTAAGGCTGTAACTGCAGAAAGGAGTGAACTGATTTAAGAGCTGTTATGAGGTGGATTCTCTAGGACTTCGTGACTGATTGGATGTGTGGAGGGGTGAAGGATGAGAGAAAGTCTGTGAATGCCGTGTTTCTGGCGGGGTGGCTTGTGGGGGATGGTACCATTCTCTGAGCTGGGGGCTTAACTTTGTGGGGCAGAATGATGAATCCAGTTTTGGATAGTTCGAGTCAGGCATGTGTGGGTTCCTTCGGGCAAAGGGCCAGCACGCCAGGCAGAGCAGCTGCACCAGGTCCGGAGCCTGGTCTCCTGGCCCCCAAATGCAGTCCTGGGTTGTCTCCTGAGTAGGTGGGGAGCCCAAGCTGCCAGCAACCCCAGCCTTCTGGGTATTCAGGGCTTTGGCCAGAGACACTGTGCCTCTTCACTTGAGTCTGTCTGCACAATGCTCAGAAGCACAGAGCTCGACCCCCAGATGGTGACATTGGGAGGGCTTCTGTGTGACAATTCGGTTTAATAAACCCTCTATAGGGAAAGCCCTGTGGGAGCTGCAGAGACAAGCCAGACCTGGCTGAATCCTGCCCTCAGAGAGCTCACGGTGTGGTGAAATATCACGAATACAAAGCAGAATAGGACAGGTACTGAGCAAAAGTTTCCAACAAAGTGCTGTAGGGTGAAAAGGGAAGAAAACACTTTCAAACTGCGTCAGGAGAGCGTGTATAATGAGACAGTCCTGTTCTTACCAGAGAACAGCATTGACGGGGGGCTGGCGGTGCGGGTGGTGCAGGTAAAGTCGTGAGGGGTGGCCATGTGAAGGGGTTAGTGGAACATCAGGCTGAAGGTGTGGTAGAGGTGGGAGGGGGTGTCTGGATTCTGGAGGGCTGGAGGACTCAGCTGGAGGATTTGGACTCACTGCCGTGGTAATGGGGAGCCATCAGAGGTTCTTGATGAAGAGAATGATGAGTCAGGGTTTGACTTAAGTAGCAGAACACTCTGAGTGATACAGGGATTTGTTATGGAGAGGGTGAAACTAGAAAAAGCCCATTCATGCTGCTTGTCTCCTACCGGACCCAATAAGCACAGATGGACTGAATCTTTATGGTGCTTTATTCAAATGGTCAGCAATCTGAGAAAACCGCGGGTTTGTACCCTCACAGACCATCTGAAATTCCATTGTAAACTGACCCTTTTTATAAGGAAAAGAAAAGTATAGGTAAGGGGTTTGGAATTCAGGGAAAAAGTTAATCACATGAAAGCTATGGCATTCTTTTATCTATGCACTGGGAGGTGGTCTTATCTGTGCCCGGAGTGGTGGGCGTCTGCCCCTGGAGCACAATGGCTCAGAGACCATCCTGATTGCTGGCAGTCCTCCTGGGGCAGGAAGGTGGAACTGCTTACGGTCTCCTGGAGTCAGGGTGGGTCATACCTTCAGTTCTGGAACAATAGCTTTTTACATTCATTGATTACTAAGCTTATTAGCTATTACTTAAACTAAAAGTTTTCCAACATTTGAGTCCCCCATCAAAGGACCTTATGCAATTGTGGGAGCAGCTGCAGAAGTTTATGCAAAGTTGCTACCTCTGCTTGTAGTGTTGGGCTTGAAGTCCCTTTGGGCACCTGGGCTGGCGGGAATGAACTGGGGGTAGGGACGTACTAAGTGCCCAGGAGGACAAACTGGAACCTGTGTCTGGCTTTCACTGCCTTCGATCTCAGTGACACTGGTGACTGGCCTGAGAAGTTGGCACTCTTTGCCATGAGGCTGCACTAGAGACAAGACTGGGAACAGTTGAAGGGGGTGATCTGGTGGGACCTGGAGGGGCCGCACTAGCCGTGAGTTCAGCCTGGGGACTGACAGCCCCGAGTGCCCCTGCAGCGTCTGCTGCTGCTTCCGTTCGGCCTCAGATCTGAAAGATTTGCCTCAAATCTTCGGTTAAACCTCAAATCTCATGCAAATTTCTCTTGCAGCCCATTTTAACCCAGAGCATGTAGGGAAGGCACAGTTCCACCCAGTGTGACCCGAGGCAGAGCCATCACAAGTGAGCTAATGAGAGCTTTCCTGCAATTGCTCCCACAATTGCATAAGGTCCTTTGATGGGGGACTCAAATGTTGGAAAACTTTTAAGTAATAGCTAATAAGCTTAGTAATCAATGATAAAGGTTCGCATCCTGGGACTTCCTGCCCAGAGTGGATGGACTGACCTGGCATCAGCAGCGAAGGGTGGATGGTCAGAGGAAAGGAGGGCCACTCTCTGTAGGATGGTGTGACAATCATTAGGTTATATTCACAACTTTCTCAGCCCTCCCTCTCCTTCTAGACGCTGGGTAGGTGGGCTCCCCTGCACCTGGCCATATTCTTGTATGGGCAATAAAATGGAAGTGAAGTAACGTGCCACTCCTGAGTGGACGCGTGGAGAGTGAGGGCAGGCCTTGTCATTTCCTCCCTTCCTTTTGTCGTGGTGACCAGCAGTGCTCCAGCAGCTGCTCTAATTGTCCTGAGTCCCAGAAGGGAGCCGAGCCCCTGGCCAGTCTCTGATGGGCCTGTGACAGGAGTGAGAAGTAAACCTTTGTGGGTTTTTTAAATAAAGGCTTTATTTATTTATATTTTAGAGAGAGGAAGGGAGAGAGAGAGAAAGGGAGAGAAACATCAATGGTGTTTGCTTCTCACACCCCGCCGCCCCCACACTTGGGGACCTGGCGCACAATCCAGGCATGGGCCCTGACTGGGAATTGAACTGGGGACCCCTTGATTTGTAGGTCAGCGCTCAACCACTGAGCCTGACCAGCCAGAGCCCCTTGTGTTATTTTATTTATTTATCTTTAGAGGGGAAGGGGAGGAGAGAGGGAGAGAAATACCAATGTGTGGTTGCCTCTTGTACGTCCCCTGCTGGGAACTGGCCTGCAACCCAGGCATGTGGCCTGACTGGGAATCGAATCGTGATCCTCTGGTTCGCAGGCCCGCGCTCAGTCCACTGAGCTACACCAACCAGGGCGCCCCTTGTCTTTTTAAACCACTGAAAATTTGAAGTTATTACCACAGTGTAACCTAGCCTATCCTGCCAGATGCAGTCGTAGCGCAACAGGAAAAGCAGGGCATTTTCCTGGAGAGCAGATCTCCCCTGAACAGAGCTAGGGTAGCAGCTTTTACTTCTGTGTTTCTCAGGCTGTAGATGATGGGGTTGAGTGAGGGGGTCACGACCCCATAGAGCAATGCAATAATCTTATCCAAGTCAGGGTCCTTGGCCTTGGGCTTGAAGTACATGAAGGAGATAGTCCCATAGAAAACCACTACTACTGTGAGGTGGGCAGAGCAGGTGGAGAAGGCTTTGCTCCGGCCTGCAGCAGAGGGCACCCTGAGGATGGCAGCAAGGATGAAGATGTAGGACAGACAGATGAGCAGGAACGGGGTCATCGACACGACAACTATGGCCACCATGAAAAGGAGCGCATTGAAAGAGATGTCCCCACAAGCCAGCTGCAGCACTGCCAAGATCTCACAGAAGAAGTGGTTAATGACATTGTGGCCACAGAAGGGGAGTCTCCAGGCGACAATGGAGTGCATCAGTGAGTTGGCAAAGCCTATCCCCCAGCTCAGCACTGCCATCAGCATGCACGTCTGCCCATTCATGAGCTCTGTGTACCTGAGCGGCTGGCAGATAGCCATGTAACGGTCATATGCCATCACCACCAAGAGCAGGCACTCGGTGGAGCCCAGTGCCATGGTCAGGTACATCTGCAGAGCACAGCCAGGGAAGGAGATGATCCTTTTGGCTTTCAGGAAGTTGACCAGCATGAAAGGCACGAAGGCGGATGTGCCACAGATGTCCACGAGAGAGAGGTTGCTGAGAAAGAAGTACATGGGGCTGTGCAGGTGGGGGTCCAGCACGTTCAGCCCTATGAGGAGGCTGTTGCCCAGTATATTCATAGAGTAGATGCCCAGGCAAAACACAAACAGGGCCATCTCTAGGTTATGGTGGCCGCGTAGTCCCAGCAGGACATACTCTGTCACAGCTGTCTGGTTGGCCCGACCCATCTCATTCTCCTTCTGTGTGCCTCTGGACTGTACAGGTATTGGGAAAAGTTCTGCCTAGGCTGGGAGCCAGGCGACCGGAATGTGCACCCTGGGGCAGGTCAGCCCCACCTCTAGAATTTACTTTCACCCTCTGTATAATGAGAGACTGAGACTTAAGGTCTGCAAGCTGGCCCCCCTGGTTCTGCAGTTCTGACATAACAGGGTAGAGGAGATCCATTCTAGTTCTTTATGTTCTTTGCTGTTTCCTCCAGGGGGCGCTCAGGAGGCAATAAAGTAGGATTCATGGTTGACACACTCCTTTGGAATTTAGAGGTTTGGTTGTTGAAAGGAAGCATCTTTTCTAGGTTATGACTCCAATGGCTGCATTATGTCCATATCAGATTCCTTCATTGCTGCATATTTTTTGAATGTCTATTCTGTGCTAAGTATTGTTTAGATGCTGGGGCTATAGCAGTAAGACAAGTAAGTGGACAGAAAGATGCCGTGCCTATCACGAAGGCTTCTCCTCTTTCCTGAATTAGGTGAGCTGAGCTCTGGAAGGCAGGTGGGTGATGAATGGTGCTCACCTAGTGTTCCTTTGGGCCATGAAAGTCGAACATTTCCACTCCACAGGATGTGCAAGGCTGATTTCCGGTCACCACTCCTTATGGGATCATAGACCATCTGTTGATTTTTAAAAGAACATACATATCCCAGTAGAACCTCTGGTTACAGGATTTAATCCTAGTCATGAAAGTCAAATGACTCCTTCTCAACATCCACATTGATTTTTAGGGTAAATGATATCGGTACTGATGTCACACAAGTAGGGGAGACCAGGCTGTAATCTGGCAGAGGCCTTGCTGGTCGGTCATCGACTAGCTGTATACAGGGAGGGTGGGAAGAGGCTGCAATTTTCTCTGGGAGGGGCTTCCACTGCTGTTTGGAGGTTCTCTCACTGCCTCCTTGGGAAATGCCGGTGTCAGGTATTCACAGTCATCTTGTTCTGCAGGAAAGCTGTCTTATGGCCCAGGTGACCTCTGGTCTAAAGGAGAAATAGGACCTGAGAGTGATGCTTATCATTCAGAAGTTAGAATCTCTCCTCCCGCAAACCCTTAACTCTTGGGTTGCCTGGAAGGGCCAATGCCCTGTGGCAGAGCATTGGAGCCCTGTCTGTGCTTCAGGGATGGCTTTTCCCTTTTATCTTCCTCCTTAACTGCATATACCATTTGTAGGGGTGGAAGGGCTCACCCGCTCCTGAACAAACTTCATCTTGTAGGCATGTCCTCCCTGCCGTCTTCCCTGGGTGGGGGAGGGACATTCCCTGCTCATTCCTCAGAGCCCAGCCCAATTGCTCCTTTCTTCTCTCTCCCACCCCCTGAAGTTACCTGCTCCCTCCTGACGTTTCCTTAGCCCTTGGCCCTCCCTCTGTCCTCATGCTTGGTGTGCTCCGGATCTGTCTCCTCTACTACATTCGAGAGCAGGGCTCTGTCTCTTTCCTTTCAGAACCTCCCACAGATAATCAATGCACGATTCAAAACATCTCGCTTTGCATCCAGCTTCAGCACTAACTAGCTGTGTGATATTGGCCAAACCACTCAACCTCTCTGAGACTCAATTTCCTTTTGAAAAATGGGGCTGCTGTGCAGCTTAGACGAAACATATGTGTGAAGGTGCCGGTGTGCTGCCTGCTCTAAATAACACATTATTACTGAGGCTCCAGATCAAAGGCTTTGTCTCAGCCACAAGGTACCCACTGGGCTGGGCTTGACCCCCCTGGGGCAGGAGAGCTCCAGGGTGTCATGACCCTCTGTCTCCACAGAGCCCGTGCTGGTTTCCCCACCTCCAACCTGAATCGGGGTGATTGTAGAGGAGGTTTCTGGAACTTAGGGGTAGGTGATTCATCTTATCCACGTAAACATTTAAAGGTAGGGTTTCTTTTGCTAAGATTTGGTGAAAGGATAGAGAATAGCCTGAGTGTGGTGGCTCATTTGTTCACTCTTTCAACGGATAGTTGTGAGCAGCTCCTATGTGCTAGGTCTGTGTGAGGTGCTGGGGACAGAGGGAAGTCAGATTTCTGCACTGACAGAGCTCACACTCGTTCTCTCTCTTGGTGACCTCGGGCACATCCCTTCTCTCTGGGCTTTAGAAATCTCTGAGGTTCATTTTGAGTCTGAAATATAAAGACAAACTAATACTTGAAATCTGGAAAGAAGTTCAAAGAAAGGGATCTTTTATTCCTAGGTTATGATTTCATGTGTCTGGATTGTACCCGTAGTATTTCAGATTCAAAGTAAGGACTCAGTTTTTGTTGGATGTGTTGCTACAAAAAGACTTATGTTAACCTGGAATTAGGACAGTGAACACAGATGAGGGGGTGTTTCCCAGCAGGTGAAATGTGACCCTGCGTCTCTCTTCCTCACCTTTGTCTCCAACAGAAAGACCAAGGTGGAATGGCAGAGGCCTTCGAGAGCTTTTGTGTTCAGGCTCCAACCCGCCCTCCCGCCTTACCTCCCTCTCTTCTCTCCCTTCTTGCAATACCTGCTCCAGGCTCAGGAGACATCCTCGTTTTTGGACAAACCTCACACAATCCTGTCTCATCCTTCTTCTTACACTCTTCGACCTGGCGTGGTCTTCCTCTTCCACTTATCCCTCAAGGCTCAGCTCACACACACCTCCTCCATGCAGCTTTCTCAGATGCCTCCATAGAATTTACTATCCCGGCAACACAATGTCTACAAAGGATGCCACGAACACAGGGACTCATCACCGCCACTCGGGAGGTGTTGGGATTGCCTTTCTGTATCTGCTGTTCTGCCAGTAATCCTGATCCCAGATGTCTTACCTTGAGACCACTTCCCCGCTCCAAATCCATACTCACCAACAGAATGGTGAGCCTTTGTGGCTGCTGCCAGGAGGACTTTGGGGGTGCTAGTCTCCCACCTGTGGTCCCAGCTGCTGTTTCTGAAGAGCGAAATCAGGAGAACAGTGGGTTTCCTCACAGTTTGTCTGATCGTAACCCATTCATGGAAATTAGAACTAGCCCACGAGGCCATAGGCTAGTGGTCCCAAAGAAATAAGTCTGTGTGCAGAAAACAGCATGCTGCCAGGTTCCCGACAGCTTTGACTCCGAATGAGACATCGGGATGCAGCTGCCGTTTCCTTTGTGATTCAGTTAAGATGAGCTGGGTTTTGCTGCTGGGGGCTCTGTTTCGTGTGGTCCTCCTCAGAGACCCTGGCTCCACCATCTGGGACGTCACCAGTTGTTACAGCTTGGGAAGGACACACAGAGCAGCTCAGACCAGCAGTTATGAAATGGAGTGCAGCCAAGAGGGGGGCCCCAAATAGGGATTTGGAATGGGGTCCAGAACTCAGGGTGTCTAGGAAATATTAGAAAGACATATAAGATGTCCTCACCCCTTCCCTCTCAGGTGTGAGTTGGGGGAAGGGACACATGGAGCAGGAACATGCAGAGCTGTTTTGTATAGCAACGGCTTTGCAGCTAACCCATGGCATGGTCATTTAACATATCTACAACCTCTAACTGGTTGCATAGATATGTTAAATAGCTGTGACCATGCTGTGAACCAGCGGGAGGGAAGGGACTTCCCCCTAAGATGTAACTGGGGGCAGGTCCCCCAGGTTATGGCGCCTGTATAAGAGCTTGGAGAAGATTGGCTCCATGACGTGGGGCCACACCTGCCCAGACTCACGATGGTAGCCCAGTAAACTTGGAATGATACAGGAATGCTGGCAGGCGTAACTGATTGTAGGAGGAGTCGGAAATGAGGGTACAGAGGAAGATTGGTGCAGGGATTTAAACCCAGACATGGCAGCCATTGAGGAGAGAACCATGTGCTTTTGGCCAGAGTGGGGACCCCTGTAGCTCTGGTAGATGGAGAATACCACTCGGCTTTGCCAGAGTGGGGACCCCCTTCCTGCAACTTAGGTGAAGAGGGAACCACACGGTTTGGCCAGAGTGCAGACCCCCGCAAGTCTGGTGAGAGAAGAACCATGTGGTTTTGGCCAGAGTGGGTACCCCTGCAGCTTTGGTAGAAGAGGACCACATGGTTTTGGGGTGCTCTTTTTGGCCACGTGACCTGGGAAGCAGGAGAGACTTTGCCTGAAAGAAGGGTGACAGAACTCTTGCCAGTAGGCCATGAGAGGTTGCCATATGGCTTTGGATTAGTTAGAGATCCTGCCTGGACCTCAACACAGCTGACAGTGCCAGGAACCTGGATCCCAGACGTTTGCTTCTTTTCCAGAGTTACGGTACCCTAATTAGGGCAGGGGGAGAAGGAAGCACTGTGGGCATCTCTGGGTATCCAAAATGACTTTGATATTTTAATGAAGACATTAGGTCACTACTTAACGCCTGTATAGCATTAAATAAACATTTCCTTTCCTTTTCACAAATCTCTGGCATTGAGAGCCATCTTTCCTATCTGGGGGTGGATATAACAGACCTGGTAGGGGGTCCTTTTAGTAATAGTATATCATGATTCCCCCCTTGGCCCTGTGTATGTGTGGGTGTGCTCTGTAACACTTTTTGGCGTCCCTGAGTGGGCCAATAATTGTGCCCCCTCAGTCTGTTCTGTAATAGTTACATGCTCTGAGCCAGAAGTGACACGTGCCACACACGACCCTACCTGTGCATCCTGCCACATTCCCAGAAGGAGGAGAACTGGAAATGTGGCTGAGTGTGTGGATGGGACGGCTTTCCCACTACACTTGGAAAACCAGGGCATCTATCTGCCCACGTCTCACATTCTGTCACGTCCTGGAAAATCAGGACCCGAGAGAGACAGGAGTGTCTCTGAGAATAATCGGCTAATTCCACTCCCCAGTTTCACACTTTCTGAGAGGTGGGGAGATGCCATGGACTGGGACTGGGAGTCAGGGAGCTGAGTCTGATGCTTGCCTTTCTTCTGATTCTGCTGTACGACCTTGGCCGCGTCTCTCCCTTTGTGAATGGAACCATTCAATTTGGTGGTCTCTGCTACTCTATAACCTCTAAAACA